AAAAAAAAAAAAAAAAAAAAAAAAAAAAAAAAAAAAAATCAAAAAAAAATCAAACATCCTTCAAACCCTAGCAAACATGGTTTGGTGAATATGATTCTCCTGGACACACAAATCTATGGGGAGAAATAGTGAGATAGAAGGAGCTTCATAGAGTATCAACCAGGACATTTTTCACGGTAGACTGTGTTGCTTGGCCATCCATAGAGCAGTTAACTTAAGACTCTTCTAGGGGTGACAAGATGGTGCTTTACCTATCAAAGATGTCAATTTCTAAAGGAAAATATGTTTAATTTTGTTTTAGGTACTAGGAGCCTGGTGGTACATGAGTTCTTTCAGAATAGGAAACTGCACTGTAAGACAGTAGGGTGTTAAGTGGCAGAGTGCAATCCACTGCAAAAGCCAGTACATAAGAATGTGCTAGGCAGAACACATATTTTAGAACTGAGGACTCCCATTTTATTTGCATGTTTTGAGAAAGCATCAGGTTTTACGGACTCAGTAATTCATAGGATTATAGAATATGCTGAATTGGAAGGGACCCATCAGGATTACCGAGTTCAACTCCTGGTCCTGCACAGGACCATCCTCAAGAGTCACACCATATGCCTGAGAGCATTGTCCAAACACTTCTTGAACTGAGACAGGCTTGGTGCTGTGACTACTTCCCTTGGTCCATCATCCGTGTTCCAGACAGAGGCAAAGAAAGCATTGAATGCCTCTGCCTTGTCTCTGTCCCTGCTTGTGAGGTGACCATCCTCAACCTATAATGGGCCAATGATATTTCTAAACTGCCTATTGCCAATAATATATTTGATAAACCTCTTTTTATTGTCCCCCACGTTTCTGGCACCTTCAACCCCAGCTGAGCTTTGGCCACACAAATTTTCTCCCTACAGCGCCAAAGTAGCATCTCTGAATTTGTCCCATGTCAGTTGACCTTGCTTCAACCGGGCACACACCTTCCTTTTTTGCCTTATTTCCAAGAGAAGATCCCTGTTCAGCCAAGCTGCCCTTCTGCCTCACCTGCTGGACTTCCAGTATGTGGGAATTGCTGCTCCTGTGCCCTTGGGAGGTGATGTTTGGAAAGTGACCAGCACTGATGGACCCCAGCACCTACATTTTCCCAGAGAACCTTATTTACTAATTCCATGAGCAGCCTCCAGTCTGCCCTTTTCACTGTCCAGGGTTGTGGTTTTGCTGGCACTTTTCCTCCTGTCAACAGAGGTTTTAGACTCCATCACTTTGTGGTCACTGTGGCCAAGAGGTCACCAGTCTCCACTTTCTCAAGAGATCTACTTTGTTGACAAGCAGCAGATCAAGGACGGCATCCTTCTGAGTCAGGTCCTTTAGGACCTGTTCCATAAAGTTGTCATCAAGGTTTTTTAGGGATCTTCTGGCCCAGGTTGTACCAGCTGTGTGATGCTCCCAGTTGATTTCTTGCAAGCTGAAACCCCCTCTAAGGACAAGGGCAGTTGACTTGGGAAGTGTTCCTTATGCCATCTAAACTTAGGTTAGCAAAGGCTAAAACTGAGGAAAACCTATAGCAATGCCACTGCCCTTGAAAGCCCAAGGCCATCTTTCACATGTGTAGGACTAAACATCCTTAAGCACGCTGTCATTCCCAAATCGGTTGACAGGCACTGTGGGCAAGCAAATCATGAATCCCATGCAAACAGATACCCCACTTGGAAGTCACATGGCTGTGTGCACCACAGTGTGAGCTGCTGGGGATGGTGACTGAAGTCATAAAAGATGCAGAAGCTGGAGTTGCACCCAGTAGTTGAAAGCAAGACAGGAGAAAAGGACCAGAAAAGAGCACACGGGATGCAGGATCTGAAGGCAGTGATTGATTTACTAAAACGTAGCCATAGAAATCGCCAGCTAATTACTGAGGACGCCAGGCCATTCACAAGCAGTGGTAACACAGGATCAGCAGACACTGCAAAGGTTGAGGAAGAGTGCGAGATGCTGTGACACGAAGGGGGTGGGAGCAGAGAGCAGTTCAGGAAAGGAAGATGAGGGCAACTCTGCTCTTCAGGATGGGAGTGGTCGTGGTCAAACTACAGATGATCCTGAAAGCTGTTCTGCAATATACTTGTGTGCAACTTTGCAACTATCCAAGCCCACAGATAGATACCTTTCTCTCCTCCAGTGCAGTCAGTCTCCCTGTTGCATAAGCAGGTGACATACTACAAAACATGTACCTGCTACGGCACAAACTGTAGTTAGAGCCAAACAGTCTCTGCTCAAAGTGCACAGTAAGTGTAGGTGGACTCTGTTGCAAAACAGATTAGTTTTTTATTGCTGGCAGCATTGACTAATTTGGCAGGGCTCATGTGAAACAGAGTTGGCTGTTGCCTGGGTGCTCAGAATCTCACACACATTGGTGCTGCACCTCAGAGGTCACTTTCAGGACACAGGCATTTGCTGGTGCTGACAGTGGACAGCAGCCAGGGGGAAAAGGGCAAAATCCTGGTGCAGAGGGAGCAGCTAAGCTCATGTCAGCTATGCTTAGGTTCGCTTTGTCACTAGTGGGGTTCTGCAGGGCTCAATTTTAGGTCCAGTGATCTTTAGTATCTTTATAGATTTGCTGGAGCAACCTGATCCAACTCCACATCTGAAGTGCTGTGTTCAGCTCTGGGCCCCTCAGTTCAGGAAGGATATTGAGGTGCTGGAGCGGGTCCAGAGAAGAGCAACCAGGCTGGTGAAGGGACTTGAGCACAAGTCCTGTGAGGAGAGGCTGAGGGAGCTGGGGTTGTTTAGCCTGGAGAAGAGGAGGCTCAGGGGTGACCTCATCACTCTCTACAACTACCTGAGAGGAGGTTGTAGCCAGGTGGGGGTCGGTCTCTTTTCCAAAGCAGCTCTCAGTAAGACAAGAGGGCACAGTCTCAAGCTCTGCCAGGGGAGGTTTAGGTCGGATGTTAGGAAGAAATTCTTTACAGAGAGGGTAATTAGGTATTGGAATGGGCTGCCCAAAGAGGTGGTGGATTCTCCCTCCTTGGAGGTGTTTAAGAAGAGACTGGACATGGCACTTAGTGCCATGGTCTGGTAACTGTGGTAGTAGTGGATTAAGGGTTGGACTTGACGATCTCAGAGGTCTTTTCCAACAGGTCTGATTCTATGATCTCCTTTTCACCACGTGACCCACATAGTGGAAGAGGGAAAAGCTGTGGATGTTACCTACCTGGGCTTCAGTAAAGTCTTTGATATTGTATCCCATGACATTCTCTTGGAAAGTCTGGCAGCCCAGGGCTGGGACAGGTGAACCCTTTGCTGAGTTAAAAACTGGCTGGTTGGCTGAGCCGAGAGAGTGGTGATAAGTGGAACTAAACTCAGCTGGTGGCCAGTCACTAAAGGTGTTCCCCAGGGCTCAGGGTTGGGGCTGGTCCTGTTTAACATCTTTATCCATGACTGGTGTGAGGGGATTGAGTGTACCCTCACGAAACTCACAGATGACACCAAGCTGGGTGGAAATGCAGATCTGCTGGAGAGCAGGAAGGCTCTGAAGAGGGATCTGGACAGGCTGGGTTGCTGGGCCAAGGCCAGTGGTATGAGGTTCAACACGGCCAAGTGCCAGATCACACACCTGGGGCACAACAACCCCATGCAGTGGTACAGGCTCACAGGAGAGTGGCTGGGAAGTTGTGCAGCAGAAAGAGACTTGGGAGTGCTGGCTGACGGCCATCTGAACGCTGAGCCAGCAGTGTGCCCAGGTGGCCAAGGCAGCCACTGGCATCGTAGCCTGTATCAGCAATAGCATGGCCAGCAGGACCAGGGCAGGGATTGTGCCTCCGTGCTCAGCCCTGGAGAGGCCAGTGCTCACTGGAAGAAAGACACTGAGGCTGAGGGTGACAACTTCCTCGGGGTGGGCAGCAGAGGAGGTGCTGACCTCTACTCTCTGGTGACCTGTGACAGGAGCCCAGGGAATGACGTGAAGCTGTGTCAGGGGGAATTTAGGTTAGATACTAGGAAATGGAAAGGAACAGGCTCGCCAGGGATGTGGTTATGGCACCAAGCTTGACAGAGTTCAAGGACTATTTGGACAATGCTCTTAGTTATACAGATTATGTTCAGGCAGTCCTGCAAGAAGCAGGGATTGGGACCCAAGGATCCTTATGGGTCATTTCCAACTTGAGCTACTCTATGATCTTTACCAGGAAGCCCTGCTCTGCTTTCAGAGCTTCGCTGGTACAGGCTCTAAACCAGTGACCAGTATGTCAAAAGTTCCTCAGGAATTTGGCTGTCCAAGTACTACTGGCAACACTGACCATTTTTAACAGTGTAGTCAATTATTAACCTCTGCTGTATGAAGGAGGGCACCCTTACCTGTTATCCAGGGTTATAAATCCCAACCATAAGTGCGTGAATCTTTGTATTAGCGTTTTCATCAGTGGATTTTGTATGTCTGAGTACCAAGAACACCTGCTATTGATTCAGTTATTAAATGCCCTGTGTAAGTGAAAACCTTTAAAATAACTACATCTGTCAACTTAGTTTACATTATCTCATTAAAAATTAAATCACACAAATCTCTGTACTTTTATTTCACCAACAGCTTCTCGTGTGGCCCTGACTAACCAAACTCACTATATAATTCAGTTTCTTATTTAACTCAGAATGCATTTCTCACCACTGTTAGGGAACTGCAACAGTCTTAACACATCCACAACTGATACAAAGTGGTAACAGCAGCCTAAGGAGCATCCCCCATCCCCTCAAATTTCCTTTTGACTAAGTAAATAACACCTTTTAGGCAAGGCTATGAGTACTTTGAATTCTCACACTTTAAAAAATATGTCATAGGATTCCATACCAGTTTCTTATGCTCTCTCAGATTAAAAGAAAATGTTGCCTGCTACAGTCAGGACGGCAAAGCTTCCCCCTACAACACAAGTGGCTGCTGCCAAGAATACCTCACCTTGTGTGATCATGCACAGAAACACTCATAGTAACAGAAGATAATACACCTCTAAGAGAAAGAACAAAAGGACAAAATTGTGTAAGTGTACATCATACATTTATTACTGAACAACTCTCTCAACTCCAAAATTGGGCACAGGGATTAAAAATAAAAATTCATTGCACTACCTAGTAAAGCATTACTAGTAACTCTCATAAAAAATGTACAAATTTTGTTAAAAACTTATCAAGCCTTCAAATGATTTGGTTACAGATATTTATAATACATTTAAAACTACATGTTAAATGATACAATAGCATATGATTTAAAGAAAACACTTAACAAAATATGATTCCAACAAAAGCCATAAGCTTTCATAATAATTAGCAAATCTGAAACACAAGTAACAAAATGAGGTAACAATGTACCAAAGGAAAAAAACCACAGCTTTTACAAAGGCCCAGAGATAACTCAGTCAAAAATGTTTTCTACAATTAAAACAGTTGGTAAATCTCATCCCAAGTATTATGCAATATATTAATGACTGTGAACTCACATTCAAGAGCCTGTATAAAACGACATAAAACACATGGCCTTACTTCTTTTTGTAAAGAAAGCCACAAAATGAGACACTGGAATTATCTGTAGGCCTTGATATCTACTAAAATGTCAAATTAAATTGACAGTTTATGCAAAAAAACACAGCAGTGCCAATATGATAAAGCAAACATATTAGAGGTTGGGTTGTATTTTTTTTTTTTCTTTTTTTTTTTTTTTGGAGAAGAAAGAGTCAGTGGATAGCAGAAAGGCAACGAACATAAAAAAGTGTTGCTGAATTCAGGTGCTTGTCAGGCACCATGGCAGGCTGTGCATAACATATGGCAGTTCACAGCTGAACATGAATCCCCTCTCTTGACAGCCACCACAGCAAGGATGTGGTTGTGGCTTGTTTGAGCTGATCCAGAACGTAAGCATGTGTGCTGTTTGTACACCAACCACGGGAAGCAAGTCCACATTCATCTGCAAGAGTCCCATGCGAACCAAAGAACCATTCCAGAAGAGATGAGCCATTACAGTGCAACAATTAATTTCAGCATTTTATCAGCTTAGCCCCTCCATCTCCCAGATCTCCCACTGCCTCACAGAATTTTAGTGGGCAGAAGAGGGGACATTTCTTCGGTTCCAGAAAGAAGACAATTACCTCTCCTTGGCTTCAGAAGAATGTGTCTTGTTTACTTTCATCAAGTTTAGAAAAAGTACCCTCTTTCCATGCTTCGAACTGAATACTAAGCACAGTAGTGTTAGTCATGTTTAAATCTGTACACACAGAATTTTTTCTTTTGCAGTTATATAAAAGAGCCTAAGTTTTGTAAGACATGTGTGGCATATGCTTTCTAAACAACATGATTTTATTTGTTAAAAAAATAAATTTCATTACATGTAATTTAACCTGCTAGGTGCTATTGTGAAAAGCCTATCCTTTAACTCCATAGAAGAGAAATTCTATTATTTTGAAGTTGATGTAACAGCTTTTTTTTTTTTATTTAGTGTTCCTAAATATGGATAGGTATTGAAAGCTTGACTGCTTTTGAGAACTACCTGCATAACTAAACAGAGAGAAAAGCATCTGAAAAAGGGCAAAATTGTGCTTTTATTTAGCTGCACCAAGAGCTGTGACTGGTCTGTAGAATCTTCAAAGAGGAAAACCAGCATGGAGAACATCTAACACTGTTAGAAACTGTAACTGATACTTAAGCATAGCAGCATACAAAAGCATAAGAAATGATAAAGAATAACTTAAAGCTGAGACTGGCAGCAAGTTGTAGCAATACTGGTAATCGTGCCACTTGTGCTGCTGCAACCAAAGTAACAACACTGAATTAACAAAAAGAATTTAATTGCAAAAAGTGCGTCCTTTTAATAACTGTGGTGTATGCAGACCTAAATATTTTGCTAAAGCATATCAGAGATGTCAACAGTGTGAATATTATAAAGAAAGCTATTTTTTTTTTTTCAACAGCCCAAGTAAAATATTTTTCAGAGCACTTGAATAGACTTTATCCCCTTCTGTTTCACAGCACTGTTCTGGAAGCTGTTCCAATTTTCTTGTATAGTGGAGCACTCTGGAAAACTGATTGCAAAAATGGAGGGAAATCCTTCTCATCATTAAATAAGGAAGGGCAAGAAGCAGCATCAGGGCAACTGAATTCTGAACCTACCTAAATTCAGAACCTACCTTCTCATTTGATACAATGAAAAAAATATAGAATTCTACTTCTCTGAGAAAATGCTAAAAATCATCTTTTATTCATGAACTTGCAGGAATAAAATTGTAACCTTTTACAAGTTATTTTAGTTACAAACAAACTCCCTTGTATGTGACAAAAAGTGTACGTAATATAAGCTAAAAGATGATAACCTTAGCAAGAACAATGGCCAGAAGTTAAGAGCTGTTCCACAAGACCCTCAGTGTCCTTTCTGCTTCCTTTCACGGAAGAAGCACATAACTGGCAAACCCAGCTAGAAAAATTTAAAAGGAAAACAGAAAAGCATTGATATTCATATCAGCAATTGAAAATGTTAATATTGCTAAATGCGATATTGCAACTCTACATTGATAAAATAACTTGTAAATCAGCCATTTAAAAATCCAGACTTTGTAACATATGATAAAACCCCCCAAGGTTACTCATGTATGAAGAATCACTGCATTCTTTAGTGGTACACACTTAAAGCCTCCAGTGAAGGGGAAGCATTAACAGCTGTTTGAATAGTAGGTAGAAAGGTCTTTACACCTGTAAGTACATTGGGGGGGAAATACTAAATGTCTGTAATTGCTGCACCCATTGCATTCAGTGTGCAACTGCAAACACAAGAAAAGGAACCAGTGTACAGTACTAGTACTGTTTAAATAACACACAAGATTATACATTGCAGCATAATTATTACTACACACACACACACGTCCTCAGTACATGCTGGTATATAGGTTCTCAAACACACGTGCACACTCAGCCACAGGCACTCTTCACACATCCTGCCACAGGCAAACACACACACACTCACACCATTCATCCCCACTCACAGTATCTGAAGGCTCTATATAAGGTAGATTGCTATATTGTTTGGAGCTACCACTTTTTTTTTTTTTTTTTCCCTCCTTTTTTCTTTTCTATAAAAGCACATGCTAAAAGATCACATCCACAGTAATCTCGCAGCAATACTCGGAATGATCACACAGAACCCAGGGAATGTTAGTGCACACACAAAATTAAGCTAAAAAAAAAATTAAAAAAAAAAAAAAAAATCTTTGGAGTTCCAATCACACTGTTAGTATAACAATCCCGTAACTGTGAAGACTAGTTATAAGCTTTATAATTGATTAAGTCACACAGTGCAAAATAAGGTCCATTGACCCTTTTGTGTAAAGGGTAGGCTGGAAGCCACATGGGTAAGTTCAATAGAGAGTTCATATATACATGTGACCAGAAACACCCAAACCAGATTTGTGCTCCCAGGTTGGTCATTCTGAATCACGATGCACTTCCGAGGCATCAGCTCTACAAATCGGGCAGGTACGATTTGCCTGTAAAACCAGAAAAGCAGGAGGGGTTACAAGAGTGACAAATACATTGCCAAAGTAATGTGACACTCACATCTGTGACTGGTGAGGAGCAATCCAAGAGTACTCTAAACAGGAGAAGAAAAAAGTGTGCTTATGCCTTTTTTTAGTTTGTTTCGTAGTGTTAAGAGTGGTGTGGTGAGTTTTCCAATTCAAAATTGTATACAAAAAAAAAAAAAAATTGTGACTTTCACCTTTAAAGATAGAACAAAATGACAAACTAGGCTCTAAGTGAGGGTGGTTTTAATAATGCAGACTCACAGCTATGGTACACTGCAACCAGATGGATGCAGCTAAGAAGCTGTACTGTGTGCTGCAGCAAAACCCATCGAAGCAAGATGAGCCACCCTGGGCTGCAAATAAACATCTTGTGTGAGGGTGTCATCTTGTCACAAGCTCTACTGATCAGCAATGACATCAAGCCTTGTTTATTCAGTTACTGTCACAGGGAAACATCATATAGATTTGGTCAAAGCTGAGAGCAAACCAGGGAAAAAGGCAACGGGATTTTAGTAAAGGGGAAGGGGAATTAAGAAAAGAAAGCTAAACAAAGAAAAGATGACCTGACTAAGCAGGTATTCAAGTAATGCACCAGCAGGTCTAGATTTGGTCCTTCAGTAAAGCACAGTCTGAAAATATGTCCTGTGACTCATTTACTTCTATAACTTCCTTAAAAAGTAAGACAGATGAGAAGTAATATGTCTTAAGCTATTGGGAAGGTATTTCTGCCTTTTCATTCCCCTTTTCAAATAATGGCTAAGTTCATTTTAGCAAATGATGAGAAAGACCCAAACAAACACACAACATCCATAATTAAACATTTCCTTTGCAAAGTGCAGACTGAAGGGAACCCTTCCCTGCCCCAAATTCTGTATTTCATAGTTATGAAAACTGCAGGACCAACCACCGTCTATTCCAAGTCGTTCAAAGGAAAACAAAATTTTCAATGAAAATACAAGTGATGAGCATCAAAAAAATCTGGCTCTAGAGGCCAGAATTTTGAATTCATTGTCACAGATTTCAAATCCAAACAATAACTAAATCCAGTGAAAGTAACATGTTATTACTGAAAAACATTATTTAGTAATGCAAGTTGAAATGAGAGTATATTTTTCTGTCAATTACTACTGTTATCATTGGCTTTGTAAAGCATGGATTGGAGAAACAATTAAAAATTTATTTCTCTTTAACTAGTAGTTTTGAAATATACTTGAGGACAATGTCATTACTTGGTCACTTCACTGTACGTGCATGATTCTAGCTCCACTCTGGTTAATATAATTTTTAAAATGAAAAGGCATGTTCTTCAAAATTCAATGGATTAATGAACCAAGAGCTATTTGCTCAGGTTAATAAAGAAGTAGCAACCATCTGTACCATAGAGCAGCATTCAGTGGGAACAATTTCCTGATAGGAATTGCAGAAATAAACTTACTGTGCCGGGGAAAAAATGAATACTCGCGGACACCACACCACTGCTTTTCAAGTAACTTTTCAAGATCCTACATAACCACCTGTTTTAAATTTAGTTGCATTTTTATGCATTTCATTAAATGAATTCCCCCTTTCCTGGCATTTAATGTGACTCTGTGGTGTCAAAAGAGGATTAAGACGGACACAATACTGTAATATGGACCTTTTAACTTGCCACTCTTTCAGGCAGACTTACTCTTTGTACTGTAGTGAGAGAGTGGTGCACAACAAACTGATATATTTATTTTTTTTTTTGTTTTATAGAAATTTATAGTTAAAGTAAACTGCTTTTAGAATAATAAAACTATAGGGCTACTAAAATACTCCAAAAACCATTGCACTACTCTGGTGTTAGCCCATCAGAAATAAGCTAAAGTATAGCTACAGTTCATCTTTTCTCATATATAATACAGCATTTCCTACCAGACCATTAAATAAAAAGGCAAGTAGTCTTTTTAAACTGGTTCTAAATCCTCTAGGTGAAAACAGGTCATGGTGTCAAGTTCTCCTTTGAGATGATGACTGTTACGTTATAGTAGAACAGATTTCCCAAGTATTCATATTTGACCAAAGGATCTAGGATAATAAGAAATAACCAAATACTGTGAAATATGAGAGTTGACAATACTATGAAAAGCTAAAGAATAACTTTCCTCTTATTTCCTCCATTGTTTTAGATCTTCTCTCTTAAGTCTTTAAACTTGCTTAACCAGGCAACTAATAATTAAAGTGGGCAACCTAACAGACTGTTATCGGACATTTTCTCTCACTTGCTCCTACTACCTACTGTTTACAGCACTGTAGCAGCTATGCAGATCAGATATTTCATGCATACAAGCCACAAAACTTTGTTAGATAGCTTTTTTCCCCTCCATTATCATCCAACAGGAGGCAGAATAAGAATTTTATTTTTTTTTAAATAATCAGATTGGATCACTAACCTTTTATTTAAACCTTCCACTAAGATAACACATGAGGAAACTTAAAAAAAGAATCAACCTGACTCCACACTTCTAGAAATATTCCTAAATAGCAAATACTTTCTTCAAAGAGACAATATTAAATCAGTAAAACATAGTGACAAACTAGTAACTTTTTTCTTTTTGTACCTTGTAGAAAAACGTTAGAAGTACTGAAAGCTATGATTTCTACTTTCCCTTGCAGAATTTCAACATGATGTTGGCTGGATGATATGAATTAAGTGAATCTGGACGTAATTATACGATCAACACATTTAAAAAGTTGTCAAATACATAAAGGAATGGACAGAAGCAAAACTAAAGCTCAAAATATCTTTCAGTTATCCTCACTTCCAGATGTTGGCTGCTTAACTGTAAGCAAGGTTAGAGGCTGTAACTAAAATAGACTGGTGTTACAGGTAATTTGTTACAGCCTGCAGAGCAAAATAATCTTATATATACCATCTTTGTACTGCTGTGACTGAACCCACACAGTGTAAAAGTATTGTCTTAGCAACCCTACTCTGTGATGGTTTAACCTTGCCTAGCTTATTTTGCACTCAGCTCTGGAAAACATGATGTCAGTGCAAGCAGTTTCAGTAGGTTTGACTGCAGCCCTATTAGGGTTTGATTGCACACCTTACACACCTCATTCTAAAGGCAACCTTTAGAAAATACCACATGTGAAGATCTGTCAGAAAATGCAGTTTCTAAAATGGGACAGAAACATCAGCAAAGCTATTTCGCCACTACTACAGTCCATCTATGATTATGCAAACAGACTAAACTAAATCCACTTTTTTCACTTTACAGTTCTATTCCCAGTTCATTACCACTTGAAAAGACTAACTCTAACTTTAGAAGTACCACACAGAGTCCCAAAAAAGCTTAACTCAGCATACTTGTCTGACTCCTGAGTCCAAAGTCAGGTATGAAAGAGCATTAAGAACAAGACAAGCATGCATGATACTTCCCTAACATGTTCTTCTAACTTCCAGAAATCTGCAGATCAGGGGTTCTACGAATCAGAGGTATATTTTCTTGTATTAATAGCCTGAAAAGAGCTGGTTTGAAATAAGTCTATATAATCAACTTAACCTGTATAGACCTATAGCATCCACTGTCTCACAGGCTGTATCAAATGACCTTAGTTTGTTTTTCATAAAATGGAGTGAATGCTATCCCTGGATACTTAATGTCCACACCAAGCTGACTTATGAAGTCTCAAGCGGTGAGAATACTGACACAGGCAGTGTGAACGCTGCTCAAAGAGAAGGGGGACACTGGAGATCACTACTTCAATATATGTGTATGATCTACTCTTAACTTGTAGTTAGTGAATTAAACAGCACACATCTAGCATACATATATTGACAATATTATGTGGGGGGTGTGTACATGGCTTTTCAATCTGACAATAAAACAACAGATGTTTAGATTCCTCTTGCTGATTCTCAAGCATGTATGTGGATTTGAATACTGAAGGACATCTGTTCTAATGGAAGTTAGGAGCACTGCTGCAGAAATATTTACTGACCCTTGATTTAGTAGAAGCCTTAGACCTAGCCTACCAAGGGTACTGTAGCACAAGGGCAACTTCATATCCCACTAATTGAAACCCTTCTCAGTATTCTTTGGTATCTTGTAAGCCAAAAGAATGCTGTCAATATTAACTTGATTTTTAGTTTCTCTGAATATTTTAATGTATGCCTAAGATAGGTATTTTCTTGGTTTTATGATGTCATAAAGGCATTTAATTTCTTCTAAAACAACTGACAACATCTGTAGTTCTCTATGGACCATATCAACATAGGATCATTGCAGTTTCCAATGTTCTATGCAACAAACTCCACACAGATTAAAGCTGAATAGAATAAAATACCAAAAAAAGCTGAGGCAAGATGGGAATCAATTCCTCGTTGACAGCAGATCTGACTAAATGCAGCCTGCAGAAATGTCCATCACCACCTGCTTACTTGTATTTCTTGGTGTTCACATCTTCTGCACCGCTGCTATTTAACCTGTACTCTTACTGGGCTGTCCCGATCCTAGAGCCTTTCTTTTTTGCTCAAATTCTCTTGGATGGGTTTGTAATTTTGTAAAACTGTAATTTCTATTTGCATATACTACACTTCTGTATACATGCATATACATATACATACACACATAACACATTTTATTTGCCTCAGAATCTAACATTAATAGCAAAATGTGGAAGGAAAGGTACTGGTACTCGTTCTTGCCAGGCAAGCTATGGAAAACAGTTAAAGCCACCATCATCATGAAACTCTACATCACACTTCCTGTGTTATTTATGTTTTTTCCAAGTCTTCTTTAATACCATATTACTCAAATTCACAGTAACGGTTTTAAACAAACGGAAAACACAGTAAGATCTGTCAATGAAAATAATTCTCTTCATTTTCTCTTGTGCCAAAGATTATACAGAAGCAACCTTCAGCCACTGTTAAAAAAATACCCTATTTAGGCAGTGCTTCCACTCTACTGGCATTTCTAGCCCAAGTATCAGAAACATAAAACAAGACAAAATGTAAGTGGAACAGCAAAGTACGTCTAGTCTCTCCCTTAAAACTACATAACAAATTTCACATAAGATAGAATTATTTTTTCTTACCTTCAGCCATTTATCAACACACTTGGCATGGAACTCATGGTTACAGGGTAAGACTCTAAGTAGCTGCCTTGACTCAAAGTCACACATGCACACCACACATCTGAAAAAGACAACAAAGCTCAAGTGTATCTGCTATGTAAGAACAACAAACAAGTCATTCCATGCAAAACCTTACAGGTATGACTGTGACACAGTAGCTGTTTTACTTCTTTAGTAGCCACAGTGTTCTGTATCTGATAAGGTAAACTGAGAATTGACTCTGTGGGGTTTTGTGGGTGGGGTTTCTTTTTCTGTTACTGCGTTTTCAAATCACAAAGCAAGTGCTCCTGCTCACGGGAGTTCACAGATGCAACAAATACAACAGAACAGACGCTCTACCAAAATCTAAAATGGCAGAGATAATCACAAGTGAAGTTCTCTCCCTACTGATGCTTTTAAATCACACCGAAGTCACTGAAACTGACAGATCAGAGAAAAATCCTCTTGCTGAAGTACAAACATTAAATAGTATTTGGTACTAAGTCTCTGAAAACTGCCTTCATGTTGATACTGCCCTTTCCACCTAATTGTGCAGATCCTACAAACCCAGTAAATTAGGGGTTTTAGAAATAAGAAGATGCACTCCTAAACCACTGACCAAGCTCTACCAGGAGAACTTCAAACTTCCAGCACTTGAAGCTATCTTAACACAGGCTAAAGTCCAAGTTGACAATGTCACTTTAACGTTTTAGTATGCTGAACCTAGAACACCTCACTTTCATTTAATTTTTTTCAAATGCTGAGGAACTAAATGAAAGATAGCTAAACTATGTGAGACTAGGTAAGAAGTTTTAAAGTAAGAATAAACAGTATTTGGCCTGGAAAGCACACCAAGAAAAAAAGCAAATTTAAAAAGTTTACTGACACGACTGCTGTTAAAGCCCTTCTGACCTAGCTGAGGTTGCAAGTTAAGGAAATGAAAATCAAGCCACCTAAATTATGGACCTTTGAAAGAGGCCAATATACTTACAATGTCTGCTCTGACTGGTGATTATTTGGGTTGAACCTGTAGGATGGAAGCTGTTCAATGTCTGCTTTTGTTAATCCCCGTGGTTTGGCTTCTCCCAGACGTTCTGCCAAATTCAGCAGTGCCTGCAAAACACAGAAACTGGACATTTAAAAATTCACTGATCAAAAAGGTTCTGGTTTCACTAGATTTGGGGCTACCATCACACCTCACCACCCCTGCTGGTAGCACAAAACACCCTTCTATCAAGAAATGTTTAGAACTTTAGTTTTCTGATACAACACAAGCTCCAAGGGGAAGTATTTCAGAACTTAACCATTTTTGTAATTATGTAAGATATTACCTTGGGATTTCAAAACGTCCAAAACCCAACTTCCAATCAGGCTGCATGCACAGCTCACTAAATAATTTGCTTCTGAGGGATCCCCTCACCCTGCTATGAAATTAACAGTGCTGGTAACCAGAAAGAAATTATCAACTACTTTCCTTCATAAGAATATGTGAGTCTTGTCTTGTGAGAGAAATCAAAAATTTATTGGACACAGTTTCTGATTTCTACTCCATGACTTGGGCTAGCTGAATTAAAGCATGGAGATTTTATCCTCAATCTGGAAAACAAATAAGTATCACCAAACTTTCGGTGCCTTTTTTTTTTCTGCTGAATTTTTAATTTTCTATAAACCAAACATTGCAGCCAAAACCCTCTCATGTACATAACTGGCAGTCTGTCATATATGTAACTCACATTCCTTCACAGGGGACCTAAGCAAAACACCACAATAAATGTGACAGAGAACCAAAGCATAGAAAAGTTAAAAGATCCTGTGTAAGCTGCAAATGGTACTGATCACAAAGACAGTTCTTACACTGCTGAACCTAGGGCTCAAATTCTCAGAAGACAGTGCTTCTTCTGAACCGCTACAGAAGTTATTACAGAAGTGCTCAGTGTTAAAATAAAAATGTGCAACTACACATAGGGAACACAAGCAAAGAGATGCAAAAATCAAGGGCTGGTGACTGACTGAAGAGAAATCAAAGGGAATCCATCAGCTGCAGAATCAGCAAAGACACAACAGTTGGAACTACCCCATAATTTAAGGATATTTTAAGAGGGTTCTGCATCTCTAGATGTGAATTACCATACCCTCCTGAGGGCCAAGAACAGTTTTCTAAACACTACATTTAGATTAATTAATGTTTTGACATTAAAACTATTCTGTATTAACACTATTCTGAACGTTACACACATAAGACCAGTAACTTACCATGTTCTTTTGAAAGTGCTTCACTTCTGTTAGGTATTTAAAATCAACTAAAATTTGAAAGGAGAAGAGTAGCACGTAGACCATAAAGGCGGAACAATTTAATGATTACTAACATGGAAAGGTGTATTTTAGGAAACAATAATAAACAAGAAAGAAAGCTAACGACTTCTAGCATCCAATATCACAAAAAATCTGAAAGGATGTTTTTTGATTCCGTCTTCTGAGTCATTACACTTATTTGAAAGGCAAAACCAGGATTAAAAGCAAAATATAATAAAATTTTATCTATTGCTTGAGTTAACATCTTTAAAAGTAGTAGTAGTTTGCACACCAACCTCATAGTTTTCTACCTCTCCATCTTCCACATCCAACTCAAAGCTGAAAGCTGGTCCAACTGCAGGTGGCACTGGGAGCATTGATCTACCAGGAGAGCAAACAAGGATAAGGTTCAGCATCTTGCTAAAGGAAAGCACAGAAATACGTGGCAGAGGTAAAGCTACCTTATTGGAGCCTCTTAAATCAACATGTTATCAAAACGGGTAAAAATGTTTGAAGGCAAGAGCAGACATTTGAACTGAAAGAGTCACAGGAAAAAGCTAAATCTGTCACTTTTTGTTACCAGGATTGCTGACTTTTTAGTTGCAAGCATGTCTCAGTGCTTTCAACCAAGCTCAGCTTTATTACTAAAATTAATCTCTTAATTATCACAGACTATGGTCTGTGATAATTGAAATTCTTGTTTTAAATACTTTTTATTTTTTTAAGTGGATAAAATACCATCAAAGAAAAAGAACCCTAAGTTCACTTAGCTCTCCAATACAAAAATCTTGCAACATTTGTAAGCCTAAAACACACAATGAAGATTGACAGGATCTGCTACTGGACTGACTTCAGTATGGAAGTCAAGTACAAATTCCCTTTCTCACGTACTGTGATGTTGGTTAAAGCAGAATCCCTTCAGATATATAAGAGGTGTTTTTCTAGTAGTATATTCAATAAGTGTTTTTACCCCCCAAGATACACTATGGGTCAAAACTTAATGCACACACAGAAATCACAAATTCAAAGTACTAAAATATACTAAAATCCCACTGAAGTCATCAGGAATTCCTGTGCCACACTGTGTCTTCTGTGGACAGGCAAGAAGCTATGACATTACTCTCAGACTGCAAGATGCAAAGTTGAACAACTTTGCTGAAATAGATTTCTGGTGCCATTTTCATGCCACATCTGACACTGTGCAGAGAGAAACTACAGATCTGATGTGTCAATATTTGATTATTTCCTTGTCAGCGTCAACTTTGCCACCAGAAACTTAAATCTTCATTTTCCAAACTTTTCATACTTCCTTCCAAAACAGAACATAGAAAACTAACAAATTTCATGTCATAGACCCAAACTGCCTCACAGACAGTCTGCCATAACACACTACAGCTAATTTCTGAACCTTAACTGTCCTACATCTTTTACAAAAACACCTAGTCAGAGGCGGAACAGAACTTTAACAGCTGTAACAGAGTAGCAGTTCAGCCAAAAAAGGCTAACACATCACTGAAAGCTCTCACTCTTGCGTTTCATAATTAAGAACCAAACCAATTTTATTTATTCTGTAAGTGAAGACTCCTACGAGTTGATCCTACAGCGTAACCACAACTCTTTAAAGAGTATTACAGAAACAATATTTAAAATTTGGTCAAGATTTTAGGAAGAGTTCAGAAACAAGAGGCTGTCGTGCCTCAAAATACCTAAAAAACTACACTGGACAAAAATTGTTCACTTATATTTTTCCTTGCTCACAGGTGTATGCTATTCAAAACAGGCTGGAAAATTCACACAGAAATGGAAGTTTTCCTGTGAGACAGGTGAACTGTGCCTGGTCTCTGGTAGAGAGACCAACCATTAAAAAGTGCCAAGATGCCTGCTGAAAGTCACATGACTTCTTAACAGCCTACGTGGAAGCAAATGTACTTTACACTTACAGCACATAAGGTAATAGGCTGGGATGGTAAGGGTGTGGTGGTATTGGCTGCTGTGATCGGTATCTGCTGCGCCCTGTGAGTCTTCGAGGCATAAAAGGTGGGTAAGGCTGCAAGAAAGAAGAAAATAAGCTTCAACTGGAACTTGAGAACTAGAACTTGTGTCCACGAGACAGACGTGGACATACTGGAGAGAGTCCAACAAAGGGCCACTAAGAGGGGACTGAAGCATCTCATGCATGAGAAAAGGTTGAGAGAGTTGGGATTGTTCAGCCTGAAGAAGACAAAGCTCAGGGGGATCTTTTCAATGTATGCAAATACCTGAAGGGAGGGTGCAAAGAAGATGGAGCCAGGCTCTTTTCAGTGGTGCCCAGCGGCAGGACCAGAGACACTGGGCACAGACTGAGGCACACGAGGCTCCGTCTGAACATCAGGAAACACTACTTTACCACGAGGGTGACTGGGAACCGGCACAGGTTGCCCAGGGAGCTGGTGGAGTCTCCTTTCTTGGAGATATTCAAAAGCTGGCTGGACACAGTCCTGAGCAGCCAGCTCAACCCTGCTTGAGCAGGGGGTTTGGACCAGATGACCTCCCTTCCAGCCTCATCCAGTATGTGAGTCTGTGATTCAATATTTTCTTTTCTTAAAAATCTCCTCTCTCTCAATATTGAAATTCACTCTTAATAAAGCATTATTTAAAAAAATCCAGCCTCTGCTCAAATCCAAAAGAACCTCAGCCTCAATTTGAAATTATTCCTATCTATAATACACAATCATACCATTCCATGCAAAAAAGTGGTAATATACAACGGAAATCCTTGCAAGTTCTGGTAGTTTTAGTCTATATGCAGGATCATTTGGGAAATAGGATATGAAGTGCTGACTCTCTTGTAAATACAAAAGTCCAGGTGCTATTATGCAGGCCTGTGCAAAAATGGTTGAGTAAAGAAGCCGTTAAAAAAGTCTTCAAATAAAGAATTTAATTTTTTTCTTTTAAAAGTCCACCTTTTAAGTAGTAGTATATATTTACATTTACATTACAGTGTTGAAGCCCTTCAAGTGTACATGGAAAGTTTAATCAGTACAATTTCTGCAGCTGGACCATATCTGAAGGGCCTTCAAACCCTAAAGCCTCAACGGATTCTTTCCATGGATAAATCAGGGCTTTTTCTGTCATCCCTGTTTAACTAAAATGTTTTTCTATTTTCTACAACTGAAAATTCATGTACCCCTATTGAATTCACATTTCAAGGCCTTGAAAATTTTTTTTTTTGAAACAAAGAACACTCAAAATCTTTACTAAGACGTTTTTCTTCTTCCACGTTTGAACTCTAAAAGCACAAAAGGCCACCACCACCAATGACTAATGCAAAAGAGCCAAGGTATTTTTGCTTGGAAGTTTCAAACTAGATATATCCAGTATGAATTTTACTGCTTTGTCAACTCTGCAATCCAAAAAGGTAATTAGAAACTGTCACGTTCACTGAATGAAAGAGAATCAGAAATGCAGCCATACCATTGTAATATTAATATAAATAAGGCATTATAAAGGTTTAGGATTGCTGTATAAAAGACCATGTGATTACTCGTAATATATCTTTATTCTACTCCTCGGTGATAAACAACCCAGAGCTGAAGCATCAGAGAGGACAAATGCTACAATCAGCAAAAAAATTTACATTCCTTATCTACTTTAACGACTGAACTTGGAAATCAAGAAAACTTTACTCCAACCAAAATGTTTGTGATTAGACTAATCAATCTAAGAAGCATATTGAATAAAACACATGCAGTTTATGGAAGCTTTTAAGCATCCTTGTCTCCAGAGTGACTCATGGTGACTGAAAACTTAATTGAAAATCTGTACACCTTTAGATTAATAATAAGCTGAAGAGTTTTTTAAATGGTGGAGACTTATTTGAACCTTCATAAAAACTACAGCAAGCATTTGACTAGATTCTGTGATCAATTAAGACAAGCTAACTGTGTATTCTGCAGTTGCAGGGCCTAAAATTTCATTCTCATGTAAAATTTTTAATAACAATATGCCTCTAAAACCTATGTCAACTTGATGCACAAGTCAAAATATGAAAAAATTTCAGCACCTTTACCTGACTTCTAGTTATTTCTTTGAACATCACACAAGCAGGAAGGGGTTTTATTTTTAAAAATAAGTAACCCACACAAACAACAACCCCACGCATTTCAGGACTGGTGGAATTGCAAACTGAAGTACAACACAAAAATCTTAGAGGCAGCACCACGGGATACACCACAGAAGCACACAATTTCAACAAAATTCAGCACAGACTTTATCCTGCATCATGTCTAATAGTTTTTTGTGCTGCTGCAGATGAATTGCCTGTAGATCCCCAGGAAGCTGGTTCAAAGCAAGCTTTTTAACAAAGCTATCTTTAAAACATGGCACAGTCTAAATTAGGGGAGCACTCAGCACAGCTGGTTGTACAGAAGAACTGTTTTTAAAGCAGTCCAGCTTTCCTGACTTGTGGAAACCCAACGTATGACTTATGATGAAGAATTAGCTAAAGGTCACAACAGCTTTTACAAACTGTACTGATCAGTTTCTGTTGTAGGAATCCTGAACTGTGTGGCAACGTGCAATGTTTTCTAAGTAAATGCTGCTACACTCTGCAGATAATGTTATCGGAAATAATTTGCTGGGGGTCGTCAAATTACCCTTGACTTGATAAACAGAAACTTACGAAAATACCACAGTATGCACCTACACCAACAATGGATAACACCTGCAAAAAGTGCCACTTTTCAACAAAAAGTATTAGAGAATAAAGATCAGGAATGTTAATGCAGTATGAATGACAATGTAGCACAGAAAAGAATACTTACTACACCGAATGACACCTCCTGGTGTAATGGATCGTGGGTTAAGAACTGAAGAGGAGCTGAGGGAGGCAACGTTGGTGGATGGGCTGAGGGAGGGTATGTAAAACCTCCTACAGGAAGGTGTTCTCCAAGCAATTCTACGTCATTTTCTATCCTTTGAAGTGGCTAAAAAAAAAACCAGAGATAGCCTTTGTTGCAATAATAGAGATGTAATTTTTCCCCAATAAACAACTGCAGTCCAGCTTTGTATATTCTGTGCTGCTGTAATCAGTTTTATAGTAACTCTGTGAACAATTCCTAGGTCATTAACACTACCCAAAAAGCAATTACAACACTACACATTTGATATAAATTCACCTTTTCCAGCTAGCCATGCTTATAGACCAGGAATTTATGCGATCTAGCAAATATAGGAGTGGCTGTAATTTCCTGTGTCTTGCATTTTTCAGGACAAATATTTGCTCTCCCTCTTGCCAGGCTGCTCTCACTGTACAACTATGCAAGAGAAAAAAATAAACAACCATAGACAAGAACTGAAATTGTGCCAGAAAAACTGAAAAGTGGAAACATGGCGGCTCCAGTTGATTGAACAGCTCATGATATCCAGTAACCAAGCAGATGCTTTCCTGGAGGGGGTCATGCAAGCAGGCTTACCAAGACAAGCAGTTCAGAGGCTTCAGAAGCATGAGATTGCAGTTCAGTATTGTAACTAGTCAAGTCTAGTACATCAGTCAGGTTCAAAAGCACCCAGGAAACAACCATGAATCATCAGTTTCGTAAGTACACCTTTCTGAATGACACTGAATTCTACCATTTCAAGAAACTGAGCTAAGAAAGCCACCTTGTGGAGCCAAAGGAATATTCTGTTTTTCCTGTTATGCAGAGCAAACTTTAAACACAAGGTGTTCTTAAACCACTGCAATAAAAGCTTTTTTTGCCAGAGCTGAAAGTTAACAGGCAAGCCTAGTCAATAACCCAAGCAAGCAACTCAAGCTAAAACCCAAGTCCATACATTTTCTAAAGGTAGAGTATTACAAAGATAGCTACCACTGGAAACCACTTTGTTACGACGATGGCAGCTGTTCTCCCACCATGGCAACAAAGTGATTACAACCCTGCCCACACCTGAGACACGGCATGAAGAAGTCTCAGCATTATTTGTAACACTGAAGCTACTTCCTATTTCTGCATTACTGAAATATCTGCATCTTCTAGTCAGGGGGGCAAACAAAGGGACACAGAGATAACCACACAGGTAGGAGTTGTAGGCCAGAAATGTAATCCTAATTTCCCCCTGTATCCAAAACAGGACCACAATTCCCCATGTTTGCCTAGTTCCTATCACCAAGCCACATCTGCTTAAGCAGATGGCATCAGTAACTTTTGTAAGTGTGAAAAAAATGTTCTAGGAAAAGCACTGGTAATTTAAAAATTAAACAAGAAGTAATACAAAAGAAGTATGTAATGAAAGTAACTTTCTGTGCTTTCTTCTTTCTCTGCTAAGCTCTCCTCTGAGACACGTACTGTGCTACACAACCTCCACTGGATTCTATTCTGCTTCCTGGGAAAGAAATACCAGATGGTGAAGCAGATACCCAACTTTCTGACAGAAGTAAAAGCCCACGGAGAAACAGCACAGACAAGGACGAAATCTGAAGTGAAACACTGAACTTCAAAAGCACTTTTTCATCTTTATACCAAAGCAGTTACAGGCTTAAAACAAAATCCTTCTTTTCCTCAGTCAGGTATCAGTACTGTGCAACCCCACCAGTTCCATAGAGAGGGGGGTAAGAGGCTTTACTTACCGACCGTGACTGCTGAGCTTGGAAAGGAACGAATTGTCCTGGAGGAGGTAAGTGAGGAGGGTGGTGTGTAGATAAATGAGGAGGATGCAAAAGGAATGGGTCACTAGAAATGAGGGGTGGAAATGCTGCATATGGTACAGGTAGGTGCTGGACTGAGCACGCCTGAAGCATCTGAAATAAAGTGAAAACAATATATTTTTGTCTCTAGCATAAACATTCCCTACACAACATTCTATATTCTATGTATTTACTTTGGAGAGATATCATTAAAGCAAAACAGTTCTTCTGCCTCCTTAGAAAAGCCTTCAAAATACACATAATTAATAACTCATTTGAATAAGGAAGAGTGATTAGTACAGAACAGGCTCTAGAAGCACCAGTGTGACATCTGCTAGGTGCTCATATAAGGTCACTGGGAGTTAGGATTTTCAATGCTCTAGGATTAGACAGCCTCCTAAATGTTGAGCAGATACATTTATCCTAGTTCATTTTATTTGTGACACATATTACCATCAGAACAACATGCCAAAGCAATGGCACTGCAATCACTTTAAGCTCAAGATGCAGCAGAGGGACTCTCAGCTGTCAGACTGTGCCTAAAAACCTCTGTTGCCTCATATATTATGAAAAATTCATATGGTCTGCTCCGCTCTGCACTTCAGGCAAGACCTATGCTGTAAAGGCAGCTCCCTCAGTGACAGCTACTGAGAGAAAGAGCCCTTTTTCTCTCCTCCTTTAAATTCCTGACACAAAAGCAGCTTTGGGCACAAAAGTTTGAACACTACAGTGATGAAGGCACTGAAGGGTAATAGGAAGGTTCTTCGTGTAAGTTTTACTTCCACCTTCAGAAATCAAGAAGCAAGAAACCTTCATTCTCTTTTTTCTTGCTCTTTGATCGATCACCAGAACGTCACGCATTTCTGTTACATTTCTGACAATTAAAAGAGCAATTAATGAAGATATTTGTTATCAAATCTTACAAAGAAAGTTGATCCAATTCTGACCTCTTTCTTTTTTTCTTATTAGTCATGTCACACAGCATAGATTGTGCAAATTGACTATAATGGCATGAAATGGTAAAAGGAACTAGTTTAAAATCCAATTACAGCACTGTGATCATGACCAAACATAAATCTTCATGTGCACTGAAACAGCAGCAGATTAATTTGATCTACTATTTTTCTTTAAGTGCTGACTATTCTTTACCTTCAGTTACTACCTCATTTTTCTAAAATAGAAATATCACAGTCAAGTGCTGCTATTGTTACAATAATTTTTTATTGTATTTTACTAAATTAAAAACTGTCTTCTGAAATAGCTGAAGATAAATTTGCACGCAGAACATCACACAGTGTTGTTTAAAACAGAAGGCTTTTTGGGAAACACCAGAATAGGTTTAATCCCAAGACTCTGCAAGGTAAGGATTACCATAGCTCCTATATATATTTAGAATGATCTATGCTATGTCCATGTCACTTTTTAGAGCAAATGAGGCTATACTACCTTCAAAGTAGAAAGAAATGAAAATTACCTGTTTATTCATTAAAGCTTTTGGAAAACTTCTGCTGTTTGAACATATCATAGAAAGGCATGTGTCAGAAGGGACCTTAAAGCTCCTCTCATGTCAACTTCCCTGCCACGGGCAGGGACACCTTTCACCAGATGAGGTTGCTCAGAGCCCTGTCAAACCTGGCTTTGAACACTTTCAGGGATGGGGCAGCCACAGCTTTTCTGAGCAACCTGTCCCAGTGCTTCACCACAGTTAAGAATTTCTTCCTAATACCTCATCTAAACTTACTCTCTTCCAGTTTGAAGCCCCTGCTTGTCCTGTCACTACATGCTCTTGTATAGTCTCTCCACCTTTTCTTGTAGGCTTCCTTCAAGTACTGGAACTAGGGCACCCCAAAGCCTTCTCTTTTCCAGCCTGAACAATCCCAATCCCCTCAGCCTTTCCTCGTAGCAGAGGTGCTCCATCCCTCTGACCAACTTGGTGGCCCTTCTCTGGGCTCATTCCAACGGCCTGATGTCCTTCCTGTGCTGAGGACTCCAGAGCTGGATGCAGTGTTCCAGGTGGGGCCTCCCCAGAGTAGAGAGACAGAATCCCTTCCCTTTCCCTGCTGGCCACACTGCTCCGGATGCAGCCCACGACACAACGGGCTCTCCGGGGGGTGAGTGCACATTGCTGGGTCATGTCCAGCCTCTCATCCGCCTGCACCCACAAGTCCTTCCCAGCAGGGCTGCTCTTTATCTGTTCATCCCCAGCCTGTGCTGACACTGGGGGTTGTCCTGACCCAAGCACAGCACCCTGAACCTGGCCTTGTTAAAAGCCACATGGGATTCTCATGGGCCCACTTCTCGAGCTTGTCCAAGTCCTTCTGGATGCCATCCCATCCCTTTGAAGAATTTCTGAAATTGATAAAGGTATTTACTAATGGACATTTTTTTATTTTATAGCTACATATGCAGTGTGAGAGACAAATACTGGGAAAAATATGAAAGGATACTGGGAAGTTCACAGATGAAGCTCGTGAGCAAGCTCATACGCTGGAGGGCATGGGCTGCCTTTCAGGTGTATTGTTATAGTTCGGAGAAATTGTCTGACAGGAACTATGTGAAGTGCAAAGGCAAATAGGAAGTCTGGCACAGGCAAAGAATAACTCCATGGAGCAGGACACTTTGAGACTAACTGGTTACAGTCACATTTGCAGAAAAAAAAGTGGGGTTCTGGTGGTCACGTAGGAATAGGACTACACAATACAATGTTCTCCTGCAGTCAAAAGGCCTAGGGCATGCTGGGCTGCACTGGTAAGAATGGAACTAGTGAAACCAGTGATTTCTCCTCTCCATTCACAACTTGAGACACTAATCTCAAATCCTGTGTCCAGTTCTGGGTGCCCCAAACAAAAACAGTGACAACATGATGACCAGGAGCTTGAAGCACACTGAATAAAAGAAAAGGTGGTAGAACTGGACTTGTTCTGCTTTAAAAAGAGAAAACTAAGCAAAACCCTTAATACTCTCTGCAACTGCTTCATGAAAGCGGACAGAACTACGAGTTCTCCTCCAGAGGCAAAATTAAAGGACAAGGATCAATGGGACCAAGATGCAACGAAGAAAATTCAGAAAAAAAATTTAATCAGATATACAGAAGAAATTCTTCACCACGAGGACAGTCAAACACTGGAGTGGAAGCTTAGAGGGGCTATGAAATCTCCATTCTTGGAAACCAATACTGCTTTTAGCGGGTGACCACCAGATGACCTCCAGAGCCCCCTCCTAACTTAAACTAGTCCTCAGTTTTGTGACCTGAGAGAAGAAAGCATAAAGTCTGCCTGCTGATGTTACAGAAATTCAACCTTAATTTTTTATAGTCACTTATAGTCACAATACTGGATCCATTCTCTCAACACACTTGTCTAACTGTTGTGCATTCAGTTCAAACAAATGGCACCTGGACATGATAAATGCCAGTTACCTGCACTCTTCAATAAGCACCTAGAAGAAACAGGTGGTCACACCAAGGGTTTTGTTTCAGTGCCACACAGGCTTGTTCATGTCCTCAGGTCACAGAATGCACAACAGGAAAAACTAAGTTACACACTGCTGGCAAATGCACAGCTGGCAGAGAACAACATTGTAACAACATTATGATCGTTCACAGGGCACTCTATATAGTATTTATGTATGATATTACAGATTTATACTAGAAATAAGGAGGGGAAACAGACTCTGGCATCTGTTAACACTTAGTGGTGACACTTCCATCAGAATGCTACGACCTGGAAAGTGGTAACTCTGAGCTGACACATAAAAGTTTACAAGGAAACAGTTCCAATTCTTTCAAATTCAAAGCTGGCAAATTTGCCAGTCAAGGTACTTAATTTTACTCCCAGCAAGGCACAGGCAGACAACCTTACTAATTAGTATATTTATTAGTATTATGAGAGTATCCTCACACAAAAGAGCCCTTTTCAACTTCTAGTGATCTTTCAGGATTTTACTACTTCTCAGAAGAAAGCTGATGTTGGAATATCAGACCTTTTTGAATATAACCATCACTGAACAAGGTCTCCAGCACGTAAGATTTTTTCCTAGGTGACCTGCTAGACAACAGCCTCAGGAGCCTTATTCTTACTATAGAAAGTAGGTAGAATAGCTGTTGATGTAAGTCAGTTCATAAACCAGCTTTAGGTTTGAATTAAAACCCACCAGGACTCTACTACTATAAACACTCACACTCTACACAGACCATAGGTAAGTACCATATGCTTATCAGGTCTAAAGCCAACACTACCATCCCACTGCAATTTACCACAGGAAAAAAAAAAAAGTTATTTCCAACAGAATTAATGCCACACAGACACTGAAGCTCCAAGGTGCCATTTCTATGAAAAGATTGAAGCTGGTGCAGTTACAGAGACCCACTTACTGGGGGAGGCACACTGCAAACTGGAAGGTGCTGGCCACTGAAAACCACTGAACACCCTGGGACCTGCTGAGCGCTGCAGGCTGGAATGTGCTGGCCTGTGCAAAGTGGTATCCCATGTGGAGCCACAGTCGTCACTGTGTATGAAACAGGAACTGTGCCCTGATGGATCTGCAGCAAAAGGAAAAAAAACCAAAAAAGAATTTAATAACTTACTACAAAGTCTCAACAGCGTTGTACAGCACAGAAGCACAACAAGCTTTTTCAATTGTATGTGAAAAATAATATACTCACAATGAAAGTGTAAAAGGAGGCACATGGCTGTAATTTCTGTTCATTAAAATATTTTTATTGATGGAATGTTATTTACTGATTGCAAGTTTCTGGGCAAAACTAAGAGGAATATCTCAGCTTAAAATGTTCAAACTTCAAAGGCACCTTAGCCACTGGGAAGCACCTCAGACTATTAGGTCTGTCTGTTCTCCCTCAGGTTAATTGTTATGAAGTAAGGCAGTAACTCCCACACAAAAGCAAATCAACAAGCAGCTCAAGAATTTTCTCAATTCTGAAGGGAGTGATTCAGCATTAACTCAGAGACTTGTATCTCTAAACATCAAAACAATTTTGTAGATTTTCTTTCTTTTAAAGACACCAATTTCTTGATTCACTCTCAGGTCAACATTTAAACTAAATTCCCAATCTAAGTGTAACATAACAGCTAACGGGAAAGCTGAAAAGGAAAGTTAACAAGACTATGAGGCAGCAGATCCAACTCTCCAAATTTGTATTAGGAAACAGACCCATGTAACCCAATTTTCCAGCTACTGACATTCCCTAAAACTGAATCATCAAACTAAGATCCAAAGGTATTCCGCACCTACAAGCCACATGGGTTGTTTTCTGTGTTGGATTTTGGGTTTTTTGCTTGTTTTATTTTGTTGGTTTTGTGTTGTTTGTTTGTTTAAACTAAACAAGAAATCTCTCATGCTCTAATATAATTGAAAAGGCTTAAGCCTTAGGCAGCACAGATTAACTGAAAGTAATTATTTCAAAGCTCTCTCTTCCTTCATGATCTGCTAAAATGAAACCTACTGGTTTAAACAAGACCAGTTCATTAGGAAGGTGAAAATGAGTAGAGCTAAACTACTAAACTGGTAGTGTACAGTCAGGCCCACAGACCAAATCAGAACACAGATCACTGAACTGAGCTTAAAATCTCAACCTGTATATCACTAATTACAGAAACCAGTCTCAGAACAGACACTGAATTTTACCCAGTTCTGTCTCTGCTACAAAAGTTGGGCATACAGTGCAATGCTGGGTGTGATCCTGTAACATTTATTGGTCACAAAAATAATACTAAAAAATGGTGTCTCAAAATTTTTATGTTCCTCAAGTGGAAAGTATCACCATGGAAGACCTTAGTTAGTCTGGAAATACAGGCATCTGATCATAGATAGAGCTTGGAATTTAAGAGGCAGTAGGATGGAACAACTGTTTAGCCAGGCTTGTCGTGATGTAAGCTTGCAATATAAAGCAAGAGCATGATCTGAATCTTTGAGATGCTGCAGCAGACATCCAGATAACCAGAGCTGCGTCTCACTTCACAGCTATCTAGTAACTGGTTTACTTATGCTGCAGCCTGTTAATGTAACAAAAAAATAACAAGATACCTCAACAGAACCACAGAGTCACTGAGGCCAGAGAAGACCCTTAAGATCACCAAGGGTTAACCAAGGGTCACCAAGTGCTGTTAACCCAGCACTGCCAAGTCCATCCCTAAATCATGTTCCTAAGTGCCACAAATCTACGTGTCTTTTAAATACCTCCAGGCATGGTGACTGCACCACTTCCCTAGGCAGTGTGTTTCAATGCTTGACAAACTTGCCAGTGAAGGAATTGTTCCTAATATCGAATCTAAACCACCTCAGTGCAAGCTGCTGCAATTTTGTCTCGTCCTGTCACTTGCTGCTTGGGAGATCAACCCCCACCTAGCTACAATCTCCTTTCAGGTAGTTTTAGAGATCGGTAAGGTCCTCCCAGGGCCTCCTTTTCTCCAGGCTAAACAGCCCCACCTCCCTATATGAGGGCTGCTCCTCATATAACTTGTGCTCTAGACCCTTCACCAGCTCTGTTGCTCTTCTTTGCACATGCTCCATCATCTCATGTCCTTTTTGTAGTGAGGGGCCCAAAACTTGTTTTACAGGTCCTCATTTACAGGATTCTATACAAACTGCTGTCACAGAGGGGAATCATTTACTTCCTGGACCAACGACATACATAATTTTTTCATGAAATTTAAGGAGGAGTTGATTAGGTTTGGATGACTAATCCGGTTATGCAACAATAGTATCATGAGTTCCGCTGTTACACAGGCAACCAATTATAAGCATTGCAAATTCTACTTCTAAATGATATATTTTAACTGTTTAATGACTCCTAAGTTAAGGAAAGGTATTTCATGCGAAACAGAATACATTATTAATAAGTATCATATCACATCTTTATCCCAACAAATGAACTACAAAAGCAAAATAAAACTGCAAAGGTTTGAGACAAAGACCTATAGAAATAGGCCAATAAATGCATTGATGAATTGTTAAATATCAATCTTCTTTACTAAAAATCGAACTTTCTTTCTGTTTGTTTTCCACTGCCAACTGCAATGATTCATATGCAAAAGCAAAAAAACACTCTGTAAGAAGGCAAAAAGAATTTTAGTGCCCTGTGACTTTCATCAGCAACTAATTTGGGGAGATGAGGGACCTTGAAGATTTTGGGGGAAAAAACCCACACAAAACCAAACTTCACATCTTCAACAGCCTTCTGTTAGTACTCTAAAAATTTTACCTGATCATGAATGTCAACCATCACTGCATTCTGCTGTGGTGGGTGAGCAGCTGGGTGCAACATACGAGGAGATACATTCGGTGGGCGAAAGGCTCGGGGCTCTTCTATTGCTTGCTGCTGTCCATAGGAGAGATGGTGATAGTTTTCATCCTGGCTAACAGAATTATGTCTAGACAAACGATCTCTCCTTGTTCTCTGACGTCGAACAGGAGGACTGGAAATGCATTAAAAAAATTAGAGATTATATAAATGACACAAATCCTTCTTTGTAACTAAAACCATGAGAGAAGCAAACATCAAGAAAGTCTTTACAGTGGAAAATTTTTCTAGAAGAGTTTTATTAGATTGGAATAGAAGTATTACTGACAGAACTGCTAAAAGCCTTACAGATGACACTTTTTTCAGTAAGCAAGTGCTTAACAGAGCATAGGTTAATGCTGTTAAGGAAACCAAGACAAGAACTCTTAAGTAAATATTAACTTGTTAAAAAGATGACACTTGGATTGCCACAAAAGTGCTCAAGAGTCAAGATTGCAATCTTCATGAGATTTTCTTGCATTTATTCTATCAAGGTAAAAATCCTCCATTAACTGATCACAGATTTCCCCAGGGTCTTTGTTTCAACCGTGCCACAGAACGGTTGCTTGCTTAGCGACGGCAGACAAACAATAGGCTTCTCCGTGGAAACAAACCAATTTTTCAGCTCTCACATGTTTACTACATAACTGAGTGCCTTCTAGAACTCTCCCCAGAAGATCCAAGGAAATTGTGATTGTGGTATTCTTTCTTTTTCAGAGTGGAGATTGACTTAGACTAGACCATCCACTTCTTTTGAGCAACTGATTTACAGGTAGGATTTGATGATGTATCCTTATGTAACTGTGCGTATATTCTGAGCAGGGCTGCTACTGCCTTGAGCCAAGAGTTCTGTAAATCAGAGACCAGTGGCTAAGGTTCAACACTCAGAAAATGATGCAAAAGTCATAAACTAATAGAAATCTCTTCTCGTTTATTTGGAAGGGGAAAGAACTGAAAGCAGAAAATGATCTTGCAGTACTTTCAGTATGTGCCTTCCAACCTCCACAACACTCAAGTTAGAGGTCCCAGAAGCAACAGCAAATTAAAGCCACATGGGATGAAATGGTTTCCCATTTAGGAAACAAGCTGAAGGAACCAAACTGCAGAGAAGAGACAAAAAGGATCTGTAGCCATTAGAACTTGTCCTCTCTAAGAGTGCATGGAAGAGAACTTTTGCTATTACCAAACAAAAATCAAATAAATGTGCAACCTATTGGGAATTCCCAGACACTTCTCGGGTTCAGTCCAACTTTTGTGCTGTGTGAAACAGACATACTCTGGGGAAGAGGGAGCACACTACCAGCTATCCAGATGCTACTGTGAGTATATGATATAATGTCTCAAGCCACTATTTTTCTGCCCTACTTCACAGGGATTTTATGCCATTATAGCTTAACTTAGAACTGAAACAAATGCTAATTCATGACAGGTCAGACAGAAGGCATAACACCAGATTGTAACACAGCATTCTTAAAGAAAACCCAAAACAAACCAAAAATGCATAGCCTTCATTGTTACAAACTACTCTGTTAGAACATACAAGCTGTGTTTTCTTCTTAGCACTGAGAACCTAAATTTACTCTTAGTAATGCATGTCTTAATTCCAGCTTCCTTCCTTGAAGTTTTTGCTGCACTCTTCATTGCTTCATTACTTACATGATACAACTGCTACATTCTCGTTAAACAAAACCGTCATATGTAATTTCTAACCACAGAACTATCAATGCAAAAGATGTTCTACTGTTTGGAGTACTGAGGTTCATTTAAATTTGCTATTTCCTGCTATGAAACAGAAATGCTCTGAATATTTTAACACAAAAAATGTCTGAGCAAGGAATTTTCTTTGGAAAAGCTGCAGGAACAGAGGAGAGTTACAAAAGGCAGCTCCAACACTTCAGAAGTTCTCTAACTGCCACCAGTGCTTAAACAAGGTGGCTTCTCAGACAAGGCAGATTCTCATAAAACTAGTCATACCTCCGTATTTGTTAAAAGGTTTGGCTTTACAAAAGCTGGCAAAACTTCTGGAGTGTCTTTTTAAATCAATGAAGAATCCTTCCCTAATAAAAAACAAACCTGGATTTTTTTCCTATGCAGAATTATAAAGAAACTATATTTTCGTTCAGCAAAATTCAGAGCACCTTGATACATAGCTTTATTTGCTTCCTGAATTACTAGACATTACTGCAGAAGAACTGTCAAGACATGGGGCTAAACTATCATGAAACATTAGGAATGAACTTGTTTTTAAAGTCTTTAAAAAATAGCCACAAAAAAAAAATTCCTCTCTTTCTACGTGCACGGGATAAACATGGTAAATGCCAGGTTAAAACAGAGACAGGATGGAATTGTTGAAAAAATTGCAGGAATTCCTACCCTCAGGTAAGAACAGCCATCAAAAGGTATCCATAACTGCAGAGTTAGTGTGTGCAGATCTTAGTATTTCTAACAAGGGTGATTTCTTTGCAGTAACACATTCTTGAATCCCGTTAGTTCAGAATTACATTCAAGAGAAGGAGGAAAAGAAGCACAGATGAAAGGTAAGGCACAGAAATGGTACAGATCCCTCCATTTCACAATGACTGATAAACTGGAATGGCCTTCTCTGTTTCATATAGGCATGCATCACATTTTTACATTCACAGTTTATCTGTATTATATATAAGTAACTGGACAAAAATAATCTTCCCGTAAATTCACACCAGAAGGCTATCTCTCTAAATGCAGTGTTTGCTGGCTTACAATGAACTGGAATAAAAAACCACAACGAATTAGGGCACTGTTGTGCTAGGCCCAGTACGGAAACCACTGATACCAAGAGGTAAGGTCTTAACAAGCCAGGAAATGGAAAAAAATTAACGTAATAAAAGAACCCTACACAGACTGTCCTGACCAACAGGAGTGAACTGGTAGGACAAAAGAGCTAATGCTGATGGTGCTGGATCAGAGTGATGTCCACACCACACACACTGGGGATGTTTTGCTTGCATTTGCCCCAGCCTGTTTCCTTGAGTTGAATAACTATTTGCAACTAGAGTGCACCTTTCATCTCATCTTAATCTGAAAACCTCATTAACTCTGAGACTCCTCTGCCATGGGAAGAGAAAACAAAGCAGGGGAAACAAAAGTGGCTTCAAAAGCACATGCATAACCTCACCTAAAGCATTAGTAACAGATGCACTCACAATAATATTAATGAATCCAGCTTTTGCTCCATAAGAGTGGTTATTAGTTCTGATATGACTCCAGAGCACTCTTAAGATTCAAAAAGACTTCTGGAAAACAAGAAACACCTATGTGTTGTTCTGCCTAACCATCCTGTTCTAGGCGAGGAAACTGGATGCAATGCTATTCCAGAACTCACCTAGAGCTGGCTGAAATGCAAGAGCACAGTGAAGCTAAAAAATGCAAGTGCAGGGAAACAAAGCACTGACACATTCAAACATCTCTGATCAGAGCAAAAGCTTGTGTTATCACCCAAGAGCAGGCGAGCTGGCACTAGAAAGAGCAATGCTCTGTGTCCACAATGCTGCAGCCAACCTAATTGCTCCTGTCAGACTGAAGACGGCTTTGCAATGAGGTGTCTCCCCATTTGCAGAATGCCTTAACTTGCAAAAGCCACAGGTTACACCTGACTGCATCGGAATGTCAGACACTTGTTCCATGCACATCTGTCTCTTACACTTTACATTATTCTTCATCCCACGGTACCTCCAAACTGTCTAGATTCAGCTTTCTAGCATTTAGCTTGTTAAGCAGCCTGCTTAACTCTGCAGGAGAGGTTAATGAACACTGCAAAGGAATCTGTGCAGGCTGCCCCGACAACAAACAAAAATGGCCAAATGCAGCATGTTCCAGGCATCTCAGGTCAAACTATTTCGAGGTAAAGATCATGTTGTGGACTAAATGCCCCTACAGAGCATCCCTGTACCAAACCATATAAAAGGTCTAATTTTCTGTCCTCACAACAATCCTTCAAGTTCACAATTCAACCTCTTTCTTAAGTCTGACAAGTTGCATTGAGAGCTGAGTATTTTGCATGCCACCGACTGAAAGCTTTCAAATTCATGGAGTTGAAATCAAGATACAAGACTAGCATGCTTTAAAATCTCTTGCCTCAAAACTACTCCTGACTGATCATTGCTGCCAAATTTGATTTGTAGCATCTGAAGAAAACTGGTTAAATATATCTTGAGCCTAAGATTTTATGTTAATGAAAAAGCATAGACACTTTTTTTTTGGAAGCACAAACCAAGACACAATATTTCTTAGAAGCACAGAGACCATGGGTTTTAACTTGCATAAAATAACTCAGTATTTTTGATGCAGAACGTGAGCCAGTTAAACCTTCTGTTTTGGATAATTTGTGTAACTAGAATAGCAAAAAAAAAAATCCATGGTTTTATGCTTTCCTAGAATATCATCCATCCAGGCACCAGCTCAACCTGGCCATCCCAATCTCTCTCTTCCATGTCCATTGGAACTTCTTCTAAAACATCTGCTTTGAGAAGGTTAATGGGCCACAAGCTAAAACCAACATGAAAATCTAACTCCTATTACATGCGAATCAGTCACCTCAGCAAACACTGACACTGTGCTAACCTCCCCATCTCCCAGTTAGTAACTCTCATCTTTATTTAGATTGGTTTTAAGTATGAAAATAATTGTGACTGCAAAGAAAACTGTGGTACTACATCAGTAACTCTTAATACCATTAAAAGTACCTGCAATTAGAAAGATCTTTGCTTGCATTTTTCCACATGCTTTTTGCCTCAGTGTAGAGTGAACAGAGAATTAGGCTCACAATTAAACATATTTCGGGCATTCCTTTCCTCGAGTTGACTATTCACATGCATTACGAGATGATACACAAACGTGAATCACTTCCAGTAATTTTTCAGTCACAACTGTAACAGCTCAAAGGAAACATTAACACATTTACCATGTGCGATCTAGCCAGCACTGACCAAAATACACCTCCCCTGAGCTAAAATTAGGAAGAGTAAGAACTTGCTTCCCAAGCTACGCGGCTTGCTTACCTCCTCCTGTTTCGTGCAGGTGTGTTGCATCGTTCCCCTGAGAAGTGGTGTTGGTTGGGCCGGGCCAAAGGAGGCTGCCTATTTGATGTCATCTCCCATGGTCGCATTGGTGGTGACGGGGCTGGTGATGCTGCTGTATAGTCAAAGACTGAATGGGAAAGGCGTTGCCGCTTGGGACTAGGACTGTCTTCGCTCTACGCCAGTGCAAAGAAAACCAAAACAAAACAAAAAAAAAACCCACCTCCAGGTGAGTGAATTACAATCCATACTTCAAGTATCGCTTTGCAGCTAGCACTAGGAGTGACTTATTGAAGACTGAACTAAAACACCACGAAATTAGGAACCTGCGACTAGCTGCCTACTTATTATCTTTATAAACAGAGATTTCTGATGGCTCCCTAACCCCTGGAAGAATTAGTACTACATTATACTTTAGCAGCATTAAAAAATAAAAATTCTAACATCCATGCAAAACCAAAAATACAACAGAAAAGAGAGAAGAAAGCAAGAATGAGGAAAGTAAGGAACAACCTATTTCACATTCCTCCATCACTAGCACTTACAGGCTACAGAAGCATGAAAAGATGTATAAGCACAGACTTCACAACAATGGAACCTGTACCAGTCAGTAAGCAGATACCACACAGAGCCTGCACACTGCACTGCATCCCTTCCCTACCAGGTCTGCACTTACACAGCTAATCAGACACTTGATCTGTATTGCAGGCTATTTTGATTCTGTTAGCTCAACACGGGAATGCTTCATCCTTCTAGTTACTCATGTAATAATGTTCATTTATACACATAACCTGAAAAAAATGAATCATCAACCTCTGATTAAGTCTGTGTACTTCGCTAAAATTCCACAGGGACTACATAGTGCTCAAAGTTTTCAGTCCTAGTGATATGAAGGTTCTTCACCTCCAGATGATGTTCTCCCAGCTGGTTACAAAAACAACCACCTCTCCTCTTCTCTATGTGTCCATGTTACTGAACCATTTAACAGAGCTGTTGTTCTTCTTAGAAGTTCCCACCAATGCCTATGAAGCCAGCAGCAAACTACTCTGTCAAAACTGTAATACATCATGCTGCTAACAAGCATGACAATTGAAAACAGAGAAAAATACCTGTCATACTGCAGAGCTCACCACCTGAGCACACAAAAGCTAAAACCACACAAACTTCTATACTGGAACCACCCTTTTGTCCAAACACCACATAGACTTCTCCGACAGAACTCCTGGTGCAAATTGTACTGTTCTGCTGCTCTCCAGCTTGTTCACTCACCCCACCACTTCCATTTCAGCCCACCACAGCGCTTTTTCAATTAAAAGTGTATGTAATTGCAGGTAGCTGAAGCAGAGAAAACAGCTTGTCTGCAATGGCTCTGCGGCCCTCCTCCAACAGGCTGTTAGAGGTCTTATTTCAGATTTAATTGTAGACTGGACCATGGACATCATCTGGCTCTTAGCTTTACAGGGGCCTATTAGTTTCTGAGTACTGTTAAGTTGCAAGTTGCTTCTCGGTAGGTTTCCACTGACATATAGTTTGTACTCCGCTGTTCTTTCTGGGAGCACACTGCCTTTAACAACCAAAAGTTTTGTCCGGGTGTTTAAGAGAAAAAACCATATTTTTTTCCCCTACTGTATCTAATCTAAAGCAGTCAGCTTCCTTAGGCAACCAGCCTGATAATGCATGCATCCCTTTGTTGCTCAGTCTCCTCTGAACTCTTTAACCAACTGCATTTCACTTTTTTAGAGAAAAAGAGGTCAAAAGATAGGCATGCAGCCAAAGGTTCATGAAAGTAGACTTCTAGGTAAATGGTGACTCTTCCAGAAGGCTGCTCGCCCTCAAAAGCTCAACACCAAAAAAAGTGGAGGAGATATTCCATAACTGCCTTGACAGGAAAGCTTCTGTGAAAATACCTGTTTTGTTGGATTTCAGGGAACACTGCCAAAGGACAAATCTTAAAGGAACTATGCTACAAGAGTCAGAGAAGGATGACTTGCAGCCCCATTTTTTTATACCATGATGACTAAGCCTATTCTAAGAGAAACACAGGCAATAAATTAGGGTAGTAAATTATGTACGCTGGAATTTTGAGAATGCAAAAGAAGATGTCAAGTGGAAGGAGGAAATAACTGGATTTAGTGAAGCTGGCATAAAACAGAACCCTAAAACAATAAAATAACCACTGCTGTCCTGATACATTCTGTATGTGCCTTTGGCTGGGAATCTCCCACTGCTAATGCCCTAATTTAAATGTGGCACCTTTCCAAAGTATTAACATTAATATACCCTGCCCTGTAGAAAGCAGTATACTTTGGAAAAGCAGTTCTTTGATTATTATTTTCCTTTTGTTCGTCAAGTGCACCACTTCAAAGACCATGGAGATGTAAACTGCTAAGTAATTACCCTTCATCATCACCCTAAATTACTTCACAGAGATAACTCAAACTCCGTAAGTGCTAACTGACCTCTGCAGTAAGCAACAGTACTTTCAGTCAAAATTGTTTCTCATTAGAAAGAAAATAAAGCTAAGATCATTCTTGGAACTACATGTACAGAGAGATTTAAAATGTAATTGTGTGGGGTTTTTTTCTGTACTTTAAAAGAAGTAACCTAAAGCTAAACCACACTTATTTGCAAACTTTCATAAAAAAATTCCAACACAAACTCAATGAAGATAAGGTGTTTTATCTTAGTTTTTATTAAGAAACCAATTCCCATTTGATGATTGTAGCAAAATAATACTAGTATGTAGGAAGGTACAAGAAGCTAATGACAGACACATATCCTGTATAATTTAATATTTATTTTCATGTCACCTTTAACAAGTATGTGGAATAATTAGATACTGACAGTATGTTTTTTCAGTCTCCACTATCACTGGGTACCAAGTCCAGTAGTTTATTTGTGGAATATGATACTTTCAGCAATGACAGTACCTCTCCAAATCCCCAAATCACTCTAGTTGTGATATTCAAAATATTCCCTGGGACTACTGCTACTTTTTACAGCCATTATGCTACGTGTTTTTCTCATGTCCAAAAGGCTACGAGTACAGACTGGCTGAGAGCTATCACAAACACTGTATCTAGCTTTCAACTAGCACTGCTTTCTTTAAATATACATTCAGCAAAAAGAGCAGGATGAACAGGAACAGAGATTACTTCATATTTAAAAGAAACAATATCAGGACAAAGTCATCAGATTACTAGTTATTAGTAAAAGAAGCAGCATATGTCAGGCTGCTAAAAACTACAACCTCATCCCTGACAGTCAGTACTTCACAGACATCCCCAGTATAGTTTTGTCCCATTCTCATCTGTGTGCCCTATAAACTCTGGTAAGTGTAATGGTAACAAAGGTGATTTAAGTGTATGCCCATTTGTAAAACACCCCTTTTAAAGGAAACATACTACTAAAAAATACAAGAAAAATGTTTGTTGTAATTCTTACATGATTCTTGCAGTGATTTTTTGTATGTTTTATCGAAATGCTGTTCCATTTCATTTGGGAAAAACTAGATATTTTCACCAAGACAACATCCTTTGAGGTGTTTCTTTTCATTGTCCTTTCCTTTTCAAGTCAAATTATAAATACTGCACCCACACACAGGTTATCAGACATCACAGAAGGGAATTAATTATCAAAGCAATTGCTGCCAATATCTGAAAATCACTTTCCTCTCCACCCCCCTGCACATCCTCACTTAATAGTCCTGGGAAGCACAAGAAACTACTCCATATTCTCCACCCCAAATTCAGGGAATAAACTACATGTACTCTGTAGGCCCCAAAGACCAGTACTTTATAAGTAAACTAATACTTCAGGAGTGTTTTCAAGCATAGGCCTTTCCCAGAGAAGGTTTTACACAGGGACATTATGACAGGTATACCCCCTAAATAACCCTGCCAGGCTGACCAGAAATCTGCACCTCTGTGGTTCCTCTTCATGACTGCATACTGAAAAAGAAATTATTTTTCCCATGATACAAATCAGTAAACTTTTATAAGCATTTTCAGATTTAACAACAAGCATCCGATGGGCTAGTAAACTGATTACTTTGCATATCCCACCTGCTAGGGTAGGATATATACTCCAACAACTGTGAACTGATTTATGTCCCAACATTTTTGTTACTCTGATCGTATCTACAATAACAGTAAATTCTTGGTCTGGATAGACAGTTATGTCCAAATGCAGAAGCTTATTTATAAGCCATGACTAATGTAATTATATTTTATGGCTTAGGCCTAGAAAGCTCTGAAAGAGCTGTGCCCCACAACCCTAGAACCAAGACAAGGGAAGTCACCTATGTGACTGGAAGGAGTCATTGTGGCCCAGAGGGTCTTGTAAGCATTGCTGTCTTCTTCCATCCCTCACCCAGAAACCAGCAGAGGCAGCAGTGGTGTGGCATTACAAGGTGGAGCTCACAAGTTCACACCAGTCCCGCAGCAGCTGGCATTATACAAAGTCTGTAGGAAACCAACAAAGTAACTCAGAGAGCTACAGCCCCTCTAGCTCCCGATACCAAGAGCAGAACTCATCTACATTTTGGGCACTACAAACCTGGTGGTGGCCACAACTCCTGTGAGGCTCCAGGTGCTGGCTTAGTTTCTACGCAAGCTGGTCTCACTTAGCCCCTGAAGCACTCACACACAGGGGACAGAGAGTGGTATTACATAGAGAGGTAGTTTAGCAAAGATCTAATACAACAGGACAGACTGCTGTCATCGGGGCAGAGCTCAGCTAGACAAGTGTAAAGACCTGGTACATCACCTCCTTGGCTGGCACAGTCCCACTGACCTGCTCCAACATCCCGAACCCTCAGCTTCGTGCGACTGACCAGGTTTTGTTTCTTGTCTTTGTCTCCATTAAGTTTGTTCGGCAGGTCTGTGTCTCTCTACATTTTATTTATGGTTTACCCCTTTCCTTTAGAATGCCATTTCACAAGGTCTTCGGTCAAATCATCTCACTGAAATAAATATTCCCCCCATTGCACACACCCTCTCTTCAAGCAGTGACTGATCACATTTGGTCATTTTATCTGCCTTCCTTATTTTTTGGTTCAACAGTTTTGTGTCTCAGAATGTTCCTAATCATTCTTCCCTTTCTTTTTACACCCCTATGACACTGAAACATTCCTTGACCAGACAGTATTACACAAGTTGATGCTCCCTCCTTCCAC